CCCGTGCACAACGCTATGTATCCCGCAAACATCATTTTTACGGGATTTTTGGTAAATAGAAAACTAGAAGGGATAGGATGTTATTTAGTACTTATAATATGTGATTCCTATAATTTATACTTTAATTAATTACTAGATAATTTAAGGCCCGTAATACGGGCCAAATATAATTTCACATATTTTATTAGAAAATTACAAAATTTACAACTTAAGCTATCATATCGGATACATCCTTATTCCCTATAGGATACATTTATTCCCTCTCGGATACATACCTATCTCCTCTCGGACACATCCCTCCCATAGAGTAATATATCATTTGCAATGTATCGAAAAATCAAGGAATGTATTCGAAAACAATGAAAAATTTGAGATTTTTGTAATTGAGAAATCTTCCGGAATAGGATGTAATTAGCCTCCAAAGATATGAGATCTTTGTACTTTATACTATTTTTTTTCTTCAGTAAACAACTTCAATATATCACTTAATAATCTATTTCAAATGTTCATACGACATAAATGCGTCGTTTACAACCCAAATTGAGAAAGTTGAATTCTGAAAAATTTTATACAGCAAGGAAATAGAGAATTGTGTTAGATTATGAGTTAAAACATATTGTGTTCAAGGAATATATAAAATGTTGATTTCTTTGAAAAAGTTCATCGATCTACATATATTTCACAAGTGGTATCTATTTTTCACTATGTTATTATTTTTTTTTTGTAATATTTGCACCATAAGCTTTGCATCTGATAAAATACTAATCATTGATCAACCAATTCGTAAAGATCGATTCAAAGTCTTTCAAATCTCTATTGGTTCAACTTTAGTATACTGTGTTTGTAGTTTGCTTTGTCGATGAATTTTGTGATACATTTTATTATTGTCTTCGATAAATAGAAATACTTCTATTTATTTTGATTTTAATATTGAAAATACTAATCAAAATTGATTTCTAACTCCACAACAATAAAAACAAGCAGGAAAGCAACTTTATTTCTATATACAATAACAATTATCGTAATGTTATATTCTAAATATTGAAATTATTTATTAAAAAATTATTTCTAACTCCACACCAATAAAAATAATCATGAAAGCAATTTTTTTCTATATGCAATAACAATTATCATAATGTTATATTCTAAATTACATTAATAAATTTTTTTGATACTACACTCTTAATATCATGCCGTAAAAGAAAACTTTAAATCTTACCCCCACAAAATAACTAATATACTTGTTTTTCTTTTTCAGGTTGTTTCTCCCTAATTTATTTATTTATTTAGTTTTTTTTGTTCCTCTATATTTCTCAACAAAGTCCTTTTCTATTGACTTTGTATTTTGTCGTTCTTCTTTATTTTTTAACTACTCATTTTTCTTTAGTTTGTATTTTAATATTCCTTAGAATTTGAATGTTAAACTTTCTCCTTGTCAAATTTTTTCTGTTAAATTGTTTATTATATTATAAAAGAAAATATCCTTTATAAAAATGAAAAAAATTATATTTTTTAATCTTTCGATGAATACATTATCAAATCATTAATTTCTTGATAGTCAAACATTGTTCATTCTTTTAGTCACGAAATTTGATATTTTCTTCAAATTAATTAAAAAATATTGATATGTCATTTTAAAGACTATTTCAATGATCAAGATACGAATTTAGTGGTCATATTATGTAACATAATATTAAAAATATGTTTACACAATATCCTTTAAAGTATTTTTAGGAACAAAATATTAACTATTCAAACACATTTTATTTTAAATTAGTTCAAGATTTTCTTTCTAAAATATGTCAAAACAAGCTTAGCATTTATTATTGTTTGTAAGAAGTTAACTAATAGAAATTCTTCATTTTAACAAAATTACAAAAATATCTTTATGGGCCCATAACAAAACTAAAGACAGACAATATATGAACTCTTCTTGATTTTTATTTTGACCACTAATTACACAATTATTATTTTACCCTTAAATGATAAAATTATTAAAATGCCATTGATCGTCCTTCTCATGGCTCTTCTATATAATAGAAATGTTAATTGTAAAAATTATAAGATATAATTTACTTATAGTTGAAAATTACTTATGAAAAAATGGAGTACAAACTATACATTTAAATAAGTTATGCATATACATATTAGTGTAAAGAAATTTCACTCTATAAATTTATTTACTTATTATAATATGTAATTTATTTTATTATGAAAATTTACAAATTTGATGTTTTATGAAAAATTGGTATGAATATTTTTATGTGACCTCATAGTATGAAGTTTTTTACTTTATGATATAGAAGAGTATTACTTAAAATAAATTATAATATCTTAATATAAAAATGTGATTGAAAATATGGGTCCATATTAAATGTCATATCATTAGGATACACATGACATTTAGAAAATATATTTGGTTGTACTATCATTATAAATCTATTACCACTTTTTTGATGCCATAACATAGAAACAAACATTCTAGAATTTTTATGAAATGACAAATATGCCCTTGGTTGTCCTCAACTTGGCTCTTCTATATAAAAAAATATAATAGAAAAAATATATAATGCACAGTTGCTGCTGGAAATTTAAATATATGCTCCTGATATTTATTTATAAATTTTACGAAGTGTAATTTTTTATTACCGAAAATTTGTTTATGAATTAAGAGAAAAAAAAATGGTATATACAAGTAAAATGAAACACAAATTGTAGCTTTGTGGTTAATCTCACTAGAAACGATTTTTTGTTGTGTAGTTTTTAAATATTTTTTGTGAAATTTTTAGCTCCGCCATTGATTGAGTCTAAAAATATATTCAAGATAGTATAAACTTTCCCTAAAAAATATTTAACATTTTCGTTAGTGTTTACTAATTTGTTGGAAATATGTGCATAGTTTGATGACCATGTTATTTTTAAAAATTCAAAAATTACTTTTGCCAGATATTTCTACAAGTTCATTGATCATCTGAGTAGTTGACTCTATCAAGCTTGGCCTAAAAAATAAACAAGTTTGAAACAAATTTTGAAATTTGAAGATTTAATTTATGCTCAAATAGATATTTGTAAAAATAATTTCTCAAAAATCATTTTTAAAATTTATGACCAGACACGTTCTAAGTGTTCGAAGCTCAATCACACAGAGAATTGATATTTAAACACGTACTTTTAATTAAGAATGAATATATACAAATCATCCTATTACACGAATTAATTAACTACGCTTCCGTAGTTATATGTAAGATGGAGTTCTAAATTATATTTACCTTGACAGTGTGGAGGACTTTTAGATGTGGAGTGCTCGTTTAACCTATGTATAATTTTTCTTACATTATCAATAGCTTAATGTAATTTTATTTAATTATAGCAGTTTATTTACTTTATCTCTTAAGTTAATGTTTTAGATTTTAAATGAAAAATATCAGTTATAGTAAATTTAACTTACCATCAACGTAAAATGACGTAGATATATACACTAAGGAATCTTTTGATAGGACGCATTAAAAAAATAACGCATAAATTAACTTTGTATATTATTAATATTTTGTTTTGTTACTATATGTTTTCAACCTTATACGTACAACTAATACCTGAAAATTTTTGATATTAGAAAGGCAAGTGGTTTGACTTTATATACATATATATTTAGAAATGATGTCATGTATGTTATTTTTAATATATTAAATTAAACATTGCATAAAAAGTTATAATTTCAAAATAACTTGTACAAATATAAGTAAAACCTCATTAAATTAATACTATGTAAATTAATAATCTATCTAAAATAATATTTTCCTCTGGTCCCAACTTGGGCCAATGGAAAAAATCACCAATCTCGATAAGATAATAAGATACATATTTTCAAAAGACCCTTATATAAATAGTCCTATTATATATTAATAATTCTTTAAAATTACAAATATATCTAAGACAATTTAGTGAAATATGATTCTATTGTTTTTGTTTTTTGTTAAAATTTAAGTGCTCATATCTCTAGTTTTCTTATTGCATTCAAAAGTTTCGGTGTTGTCTTTTTGAACTGCACCATAAAATTGTAAATAGTTCAAGCTTCGAGCTGTGATAAGTGTTTCCTTACGCGTAACTGGTTTCAAAGATATTGTATTATCTTTAACTTCATCATAGATCTACAATTTCTTCTAAACTCTAGATTTCTAAACATGAATCTCAAAACACTCTTTTAATTAATAAATATTAATTTATTAATTAAATGATATCTCTACAAAATAATAATATTTCAAGATACTACCTTATTAATTTAGTGAAGTTTTTACTTATAATCAATAATATTAATATATCATATTCAATATTATTTTTATATACTCTATCAAACGATCCGACCCATTTTAGTGTCTTGGGAGGAAGAGAGAACGTGCAACCCACTACCTCACGAGCACAAGACCCCACGCCACAAAACCCTAATTTCCAAGAGACCCTTTTGCTCTCTTTCCCATTTCTCATTTCTCATTTCTCAAAGAAGACTATATACACTCTAATACCTTAACACAACCATTTGACACACTTTTGTGTCTTAGTGTGTTTCTTATAGTCCCATCAACCGAACTGTGAATTCAGAATTTGAAATTTATAAATTTCAACTTCTAAATTAGTATAATCGAAATTTATTGAGTTCAGTTGATCGTAAATAACATTTTATGTCCGCCTTTAGTCTCCACAATCCCAACCCCTTTTTGTGTGATCTTCGTGTATTTCCTAGAGTCCCCAATACCCAAACTGCGAATTCAGAATTCGAAACTTATAAATCGATCATGTTTGAACGAAATTTATCGAGTTTAATTAGTTGAATTCATAAATAACATTTCACGTCCGCCTTTGGTCCCCACCCCCCAAAATAAAAACGAATATTTTTATAAAACAAAGCTTATAATAAACAAATAAAAACCCACAAAGCTTATAAGTTATAACACTTTCTCTCCTTGTTTCTTAATTATCATCATCACTCTCTCCCCCTCTCTCTCTCCTCTTATGATCATCTCTCTAGCTCCTTGCTTGGATCCTTGTTGAATTATTCAAACAAACAAAAAACCCTAGTCCCAAATTCTCAATAATCTTTGTAAAATTAGCTATAGACTTCAAGAATTTTTTATTTTTTTTTCACTAGAAATTAAAACCCTATCTTTGAGTTATTTCTAACATGTCAAACCCATGGTGGACAGGCCAAGTAGGTTTACAAGGAGTTGAAACATCATCATCCGCGGGTTCGCCTTCTCTCAAGAAGCCAGATCTAGGCGTATCAATGAACGATAATAGTGGTGGTAGTGGTAGTCATGATGAAGATAGGGACCATAGCGACGACCCTAAAGAGGGTGCAGTCGAAGTAGCCACTCGTCGACCTAGAGGTCGACCAGCTGGCTCAAAGAACAAACCTAAACCACCAATATTTGTTACAAGGGATAGCCCTAACGCACTTAGAAGCCACGTAATGGAAGTTGCTAATGGAGCTGATGTGGCAGAAAGTATAGCTCAATTTGCTAGGAAAAGACAAAGAGGTGTTTGTGTTTTGAGTGCTACTGGAACTGTTACTAATGTAACCCTAAGACAACCATCTGCTCCTGGAGCTGTCATGGCATTACACGGCCGGTTCGAGATCTTATCGTTGACCGGAGCTTTCTTACCTGGACCCGCCCCTCCTGGATCAACAGGTTGTTCTTGTTGAACTGTGTGAACATCTCATCTGACTATTTCAGTCAAACTTTTATAGAGATAACCACACTTTTAGTTATGTTATGTTGTCAACATGTTTTTTGTCTGCTCTAATTTCAGGTTGAATTGTGTGATGATATATCAACTTATCTACAAGTTTAAGCTATTTAAAATAACGTATTTTTAATTGCATATATAATTTAGTTATGTTGTGTTTGCTCTAATTTCATGTTGAATTGTATGACCATTATTTCAGGTACAAACATTGAGAGATCACACTTCTAACTACAAAATACTTAATTAGTTGTGTTATGTATTAACACGTCTTTTGTCTGCTCTGTTACTATGTTGATGAATTGTTTGGGGGAAGTGCGATTTTATTAATTACTTAATTAGTTGTGTTATGTATTAACACGTCTTTTGTCTTGTCTGTTACTATGTTGATGAATTGTTTGGGGGGAGTGCGATTTTATTAATTACTTAATTATATTATGTGTCGATGCAGGGTTGACTATATACCTAGCAGGAGGACAAGGACAAGTTGTGGGAGGAAGTGTAGTAGGGTCTTTAGTGGCTTCCGGACCAGTTATGGTAATTGCATCAACTTTTTCTAATGCAACATATGAGAGGCTACCTTTGGAGGAGGAGGAAGAAGGCGGTGGAACGGCAGCACAAGGACAACTTGGTGGTGGTGGATCGCCACCGGGAATGGGAGGAAGTGGTGGTGGTGGTGGAGGACAACAACAACAAGGAGGTGGTGGTATGGGTGATATTCCATCATCAAATATGCCAGTATATAATTTGCCACCAAATTTGCTACCAAATGGTGGACAAATGAACCATGAAGCATTTGGTTGGCCACATGGACGCCCTCCTTTTTAATTTAGAGGTAATTTAATTATGACAAAAATAATAATAATAATTCAAGAAATGAAAATAAAAAAAAAAAGTTTGAGAGGATTTAGAGGTTAGCTTCTTCCTTTGATTATGTTGTATGGTAAAAGAAAATATTTAAAGAAGTTATTTGAGGTCTAATTTATGTATATTGATTTTCTCTTTGAATTTTATTCAAATCATGATTGGGTTTTTCCCTTACTTCAGTCTTCTTCATCTTCTTCTAGTTCTCCTCCTCATCATATTCTTGTTTTTTTTTAATTGATAAGGAAAATATTTTTGAGTAATTTTGTTAGTGGTTTTATCACGGCAAAAAAATCACTATTTTCCCACTAAATGTCTCATTTTGATTGAATTGAGGAAAAAATTAGTACAGTATAATATTTTTATATGGAAAATTAGGAAGTTTTTCCACTATTTCAGTGAGTGTTTGCTTCTCACCGTACATTTTCTTGGTGAGCTGTTGGTTCGGTGAAAAATAAATAAAAAAATCATGTTCTATAACATATTTTCACTAATTTACGGTGAAAAAACCCTATATTTCTACTATATTATTTTAGGTTTCTCTCTTTTTTATTAATTTCCTTTTCCCTATGTTATTTTCTTTGGATGGTTCGTATACTTTGTGCTCCTCCTAGCTAGCTACTCATACCGCTTCTATAATATTTTACTAAATTAAATATAAATATTTAAAAAATATATTTCCTTACTTACACATACACCAAACAATAAAAAATAGTAAGAAATCACCACACATATACGTATTAGGTTTTCTCCCTTCTTATTTTCCACAAGAAAAAATATTTTAAAGGATAAATGTTCTTATAAAGATATTTTATTTCAAAAGTCTCCTTCATGCCAGCAGAGTTAACTGCCAATAAAAAAGTCATAAGACATTAGGTATCAAGACTTAACTAATCTAATTAATGAGATTTATTAATTTATTTATTCATATTAATTAATTTAAAAATAAAATAAAAATACATGCCTTCTCATTTTATTTCTGAAAAAATTGTACAACAAGCCATTTTTCCTGCAAGTAACAACATATTAAGTTATTCATTCTGCATTTAGAATGTTATATAAAAAGATATTATTTTTTAATATTTAAAAAATATTTAACTTTAAAGTTTTTCATTTTACGCTTACTAAAATGATCTATACATAAGTAAATGTTCACAACTCGTTTTATACTACAAAATTTCATAGGTTTTGCATTTTTTTCTCTCCTAAAATTTATGTTTAATATCAAATAGTACCACATATATTGAGACGAAAGAATATTATATTGAATTAAAAGAAGTTCTAGTATTTGATATAAACAATTTTTAGAACAGTGAACAGAGAATCTTAGGAAATAGAGTTTGCTGAATTCATGGAGAAATGGTGCTTTTGATGTAACTAGCAATGACCAGCTTAGAAGAATGTGAAGATAAACTTTCTCCGTCACAAATAATCTGTCGTGTTTCTCTTTTATATATTTCTTAAAAGAGAATTTTTGACTATTTTACCTTGATTTCGTTATGTAACATATAATTTATCTCTACTAAATATTTTTTTTCTATTGAGGTATTTGTAATTTTCAAAATTATTTACTAATGTCTCCATTTCAAAATACTCATCACAATTTTCTTTCTGAAATTAAACGATATAAACTTTGATCAATATTTAAGATGTATTTTTTCATCATATTGATATCAGAAAAATTACAATTTAATCTATTTTTCTTAATTATAATTTTAAATATTCAAATTTTATTTATAAGACATTAAATTAATCTAATCAAATTTAAAAATTAGTTAAACTAACTCTCAAGAAACAAAATGTAACAATTATTTTAAAACAAAAGGAACTAAGTATAAAATAAAGTAAAAAGTAAAATTAATTTTGTCTAAATCTTTTATAAATATCTATTTTTAAAAATTAGACACATAATTTAAAACATATATATAGTCCATCTAGCACTGTCTATTCTAGATCTGATTACTAGATATTATGATAAAACCTGTCTTCTCTGTCAGTTACACAATAAATGGTTCCCATGTAGCTATCTATATATAATAGTAGTAATACTCATATTATTCATTTCCTTTTTATTATATATTTTCATTCATAGGATTGACATATTATCATGTTTTTAAGGATTGGAAAACAAAGGATGCAGGCCAAGTTAAAGACATAATAGGCCACAGTTTTTTTTCTGTAAATCCCATGGTACATGCATGTACACACACTTGTACATTCATGTATCTCTCTCTATATATAGTAGTATTTTTTAATGTTTTATCGTAACGATAAATAGGGTTGATGAGAAATAATCTCTTTATCTCTAAAGTAGAAGAGATGAGATCTCTGTGCACTTTACCATCTTCAGATTCTACTTTATAAGACTATACTGAATATATTTATTATTGTTGTTGTTCACTATTACAAACAGAGATCTTCGCTGCCACGAACCAATTAAAAAGTTGTGTTATAAACTATGATTTTTCACTCATTTTCTACTGAACTAGCTCACTGAGAAAATATATAGTGGAAAACGTACGTATTCTCACTTAAATAATGAAAACTTCCTAATTTTTTCATTTGATAATAATACTACTATATTTTTTTACTATTTCTGCCAATTCAATCATAATGTTTGTGGTAATAGCTATTGAATATTTTTTAATGAAAGATATTTATTATTTAGTAAAGATTATTGTGTTGTAATATCAAGAATATTTAATAATCTGTTCCCATTTCCCAAAGTTCGAAATCAAATTTTCTGACTAATTAATTAACAAATGAAAGGTTTTAAATTTTTAATTAATCTATCCAATTACACACCTCAAATTGAGTTTGATTATTCAAATGTAAAAGAAGTCATATACTCTTATCATTTGAGCTTAATTTTAATTTACAATTTAATTTCACTAGCTCACATGGTGGAGTTTTTGGCTAAAAACATCTCTCAAATATATTCTAAATTTAAATGACATCCCTCTACTACCATAATAAGCAAAAAACATCCGTTAACTCTCCTAAAAATGGTCAGATTCACCCTTTCATTTTTTTTCTTGATAGAAACTAATTGTTAAACTCATTTTTTTTTCATGTAAATGAAGCTAGAATTAACTATGGATAAACATGTGGGGTTTTTCACATATTAAAGTTATAATTCTTCTCATGTCAATATGATGAAAAATACATAGTAAAATATTTATAAAAAGTTCACATATATAATTTGAATCTTAAGAAGTGAAAAGTGTCACATAAATTGAAACAAAAATAGTATTTTTTTATGTAATATCTAAATATGTTACTTTTATATTTTAAAAAATACAGCCATTAGTGTTTATCAAATTTACACAAAAATAAAAATAAAAATAGACTACCTTCATATTTCAAATTTCCTCATTTGTTTAAGAAATACATAGAAAATTATACATTTTTTTCTAATAATATTTTGTTGCTTATCTGATCTGTAATTATATAGGGCAAAAAATAGTTTACTTAAACTATTTTACTCACTTTTTACGGGAACATCCTGGCTGCTACTGTGAAGTTGAGGATGAAAACCCCTCTTTCTAGCTCATTCAGTTTAGTTAGGATTATCTATTACTACTATAAGCTAAGAGAAGAATGGGAGCAAACAAAATGGGGGATTTGTGGGTTGATCAACCGTTAGTTTTTTAACAAAAACTATTTGAAGGATAAATCTTGCCATTTTAAAGATAATTGAGGGATGTTTTTCGTTCATTGTGATAATGCAAGGATGTGATTTAAATTTAGAGTATCGTTAAGGAATATTTTTGACCGAAAACTCTCACATGGTGTGTGCCAAATGGTCTATATTGCAAGTGATTTGGAATTGGAGTTTAATGATAAACAATATAGTGAGAGTGTAAATGACCTAATATAATATCATATCACTTTTTTTTTTTTAAAAATACTCCCATAATTAAGTATTCGTTTATAATAAGTGAAATTAGTAACTTAAAAAAGAAAACAAATTAATGGTCCAATAACTAAGCAACTACAAACAAGTTAAATACACCAATCACGTAAAAAAATTATATTATTTGTGTATATAAATTAAATTTTTAGAATTAAAAATAGAATGATCAATTCGACGGTACAGACTCTCCTTTGGTCTATTGTGTAAACAAGTTGGATTTTAGACAGAATTATATATTGAATGTTACATTAGCATGTATTCTACAAAAAAATGATGAATATTATTTGAAAGAAATTGAAAACTTTATAAATTCACTCAAAATGACAAAAAAAAAACAATAATATGGCTGAAGAAATTCAAAGGAAAATGACAGATTTTCTTTCAAAGGGAAAGATAAAAATGTTATAATCAGTCAAGACTTTTTGACTAGGTCAGAAAAAACATACTAATAAATTAACTTTATTAAAACAAACAATAATGCCCATAATTGCTCAAACAAATTAAAAATCATTTAATTCTTCTAATAAAGGGAAAAAAAATGCAAGAGACATGCACCTACAATATTCAACTACTATCTTGTCGTTTATAAAAAAAAACTACAATATAATATGAAAACGAATATAATATAATAAACACTATATAATGGTGCATCAAAGTGTGGCCGGATATGATATTTCCTCCGTTTCAATTTAATTGTCTTATTTTAATTTGATACAAAATTTTAAAATGTAAAAAAGATTATCGAATTTTGTGATCTTGAATAAAAGATATGTATAATGCACCAAAATATAATTTAAACTTACGATCTTAAACATGTCATATGAAAATTTAAACTAAAGAATTGTTAATCAAACTAAAAATAAATAGGACAAACAAACAGAAACAAAAAGAGAATATTTAATATGCGAGTTTCATAATTTTTGTTTAAACTTTTGCTATATGTATTAAGTGAGTTATTCATACCTATAATTAAATATTTATTTATAAACTTAATTATTATTATATAATAATTTGAGATTGCGATAATTTATAAACTTCAAATTTTAAATTCACCTCAAATTCGACCAAAATATTTGAAAACATTAATTACTTA